ACAAACAAAAAGCCCATATGATAATAACCCAAATAAAAAATCAAAAATAAATGATGGCTACGTGGTTTGAACCCACAATCTTGCATTCATAATTAGACACCTTATACCACTTGGCTAAAGTATATTTCATTGTTTGTAATCATCTTACCAAGACTATAAGTTTTTAAAAAATACCTACGGGACCCACAAAACTGCTGACGTGGCGCGTTGTGGAGCCTAGAAAGTGTACTATTATAATATAGATTATAACTGCAGTAGCAAAATTGATGTTTTCTTGACATTAATGTTGATATAAAAGTCTTCTGATGAAAAAAATCAGTCTTCACTATTTGAAAATGTAGAGATGCGGAAACATAATTAATATAAAGGAGCGCATCTATCTATCGAATATATATTCTGCGATATTGTAAAATTACCATATATATATTAGATCAAATATTAAAGGCATAATAAAACTAACAATTAACAAAGTATAAACTTGTCGTTTCATGACTCCTTTAGCCACTAATGTAGCAAATATTCCTGCAAAATTAGGTTTCGCATAACATTTTTAGGCATGTCATCCTAAAGATTCGATTGGAAGAATATTTATTATACTATTTCTGATTTGCACTAAATTAAATTTTCATTTATCTTTATACTAAATTTTCATTTTTGTTTGGCCAGTGGTCATGGTTTAAAAGCTTTTACACTCAAGTTTGGGGATCAATCCTGGAGAGAGCGGATTATGTAGATTACGAAAGAAAAATCTTACAAGAGATCTTTATCATAGCACATGGAATACAGTGAAGAATATATCTCATAGGACGCGACTCAAAGTGATGTAATCATGACGTGAATCCGCATAAGACATGTATAATTGTCAAATTATATCTATTTAATATTTTTAATAGTTTATCAAGCATAGTTAACAAGTTATAAAGTATATTGTAATACATAGTTAACCAGTGTTAAATAAAAAATTTTGAAAGAATTTCAAAAAAAGAGAAGCCATGACTTATTTCATGTGTGATTTTCTTTATTTGGACCATTCATTAGAAACATACTTAAATGAATTTTTGTATACATATTTGAAATATTTTAATTATTCTAAGAAAAATCAAATATATATTCTTATATTTTCTCTGAATTACATCTAAACAAAATATTTGCATATATTTTTATTTAAAATATAAATAGATATTTCATTTTTCGCAATCATTTTTTAAAATACGTAATTACTTTCATAATTTTAAAATATAAATGTATATTTCATTTTTCACCTAAACAAACCTTTTAAGTATTTACTTAATTATGTAATTATTTGAAATATAAATGTATATTTCATTTTACTAAAATAAAAATTTTAAGTATCTAATTAATTATATAATTATACTAAACTAATGTATTATTTTGTATTGAATTTGTAATATTACTTTAAGTAATAATTTGCAATTAAATCTTTGATCTCTAAAATCCAAGATTTGTTAATTCAGAACTTTGTACCACACTATTGAAAATATGTTATCAATATGAATTAGCAGTCTATAAATGTAATTTCAAAATGCATTTATTTTATATTATTAAATATAGTAGCAGATTTAATTTTATATTTCAACAATAGAAGTATATGACTGTTTTGTTTTACAAAAAGATAATCAAGATCATTTTTATATAAACCATATTCATATATTATTCATTAATGTAATCGTTTTTGTTTCTTTTATCGTGTGCAAATTTGAAAGTGTAATAGGTATTGTACCAATTAATGTCATTAACAAAAATGACAGATGAATGATTGAAAAAATATCATTCATGTGAATATTTTTATTTACAGATTTTTTTTTATTAAATGTAATTGTAGATTTAAATGTTAATTATATAACTTGATGTATGATAGATGAAGAATTGCAAATACAAGTTTAACATTGAATAATTCATTTTACAATAATCCAAATTTTTGAGGGTAGTAAAGTCTAACTCAAGAATAGTTAGTATAAGAAACCTCAAAAACATAGATAATAAAGAGAAAAATTAGATTTAAAAAGACAAAAACAAACACAATGCACTACAGTTTCCGGTTTAATAATTTAATTGAAGCAAACATTTTATAAATTACACATAATATAGATTATTCAGTCAAATATTTAATTCATACAAATAATTATATGTATGACCAAAAACTAAAATACGAGTACAATCTTAAGGAAATGAATATCTAAGTTAATATTAAATTAAAATTTATTGTTGTAAATATCTCTTAATGTGAAGTTTTAGTTAGTGTTCATGTTTTAGTATAGCAGATGTATCACTAATAATTTAAAATAATAAATCAAATTACTGCATGCAAACTATGAAATTATTGTGTTTGAAAATAATATACTAAACTATTATCAATATGTTAAATATTAAAACTATTTACCACTAGTCATGTAAATCTTATATTTGTATAAAATGAAAATAATCACATGTAGGATTGTGCAGATCAAGATCTAGTTCTTTTTAAATTACATCCATGAATATATATAAGATAGTCCAATTTTTCACATAAAATATGCATTGATTATGAAAATTCGAAGAAAGAACTAAGCCATTTAATTCAAATTTTGAATACTGCTTCCTATAATGGTTTGAGAGATATATCCTTTCAATTCAAACAAGAATAAACCATTTTTTATTAGTTAAAGACATAATCAATATCATTAAAAGAGGATCATTCCATTTATTGAAATATTTATATTTTCCAAAATTAACCTTAATGTTATGAACAAATTAATTTTTTCATTAATGTCATGTCTTTTGTTTTTGGGCCTAAAAACTATATAATTAAGAATAATAAACATCTATTTAATGGGTTTGATTAATGAGTTAATATCTTATTCAGTTTTTAATTATATATTTATCAATCAAAAATAAAACCATTTTCTTATTCAGATCAATCAAAATCAATAATAGAAGTATTTTCGTGATAAAATCTGAAAATAATAATAATAAAGTAAATATTGATTAAAAATAATGGAAGGGAAAATAAATATAACCATATAATCATTAATGATTTCAAATGAATGCATAAAACATTTTTAATCTATACTATTAAATTTTGACTCCTGCCAATAAATTTATTATCATAAGTTATAAATAATAAAAGGCAATCATCATTATTAAGAACTAGAGACTTTTTCCGGGCTACGCCCGGGTTTTTTTGTATATTTTAAATAAATTTTGATGTATTTATTTGTTTGAGTATTTGAATGTACTATAATTCTCTATATATTAATCGTGAAGTATTACAACATTTTTTGGTATCCACATGTCATATATAAAAATTATTCTCGGAATTGTTAAAAAAAAAGAAGGTTGGTTCATCTACTCATATATTACGTTTTTTTTAAATTAACTATTAAATTAATTAGTAGAGTACAAAAGGATATTTTATATTCTTCCCTTACACAAAAACAACAAAATTACCTAATAAGATTAACATATATCTCATAATTAATGATTATAATAATAAATATTTAATAGCATTTTTATCCTCTATATTTTTTGTTTAATTTTATATAATTATAAAAAATAAAAAATCAAAATTAAATAAAATTTATACTTTTTCTTATATGTTATATTTCAAATTTTTGAAAACGACTATAAATTATTAAAAATAGTTAAAAATCTCACATTTAAAAATTTATGACTAATGGTAACCTTTTTTTTAGTTCAGCTCATCGTCCTTTTAATGGGTCTTGAACAGTAATGATTAACTAAATAGACCACATACGGAGTAGAGAATGTTTTGGTTTAAAAATTGTTGCATACTCAAAATAAATATGAACCATCATCTGTTTCATTTAAAATTCTGTTACAATAAAAAGTATAAGGTTGCGTAAAAATCCAAATCCAAATAACTAAACCAAATCCAATCCAAAAACTGGTATCTAAAGAACCAAAAACTAAACACGATCTGAACCGAAATATTTTGGGTATCTGAGTTTATTTGAACCAAATTTATATATTTAAATATATTAATTATTTTCAATTTTAATATCTATAAGAATATACAAAATACATAAAATGTTTTTAAATTGTCCATAATACTTTAAAATATAAAAAATAGTGAAAAATATATGTTTAAAATAGATAAACGTTACTCAAAATATACCAAAGATACTGAAAATATCGCTTGGTTTTCTATACAAAAATTGAAGGTAAACCAATTTTTATGTCAAGTCTAAATATTTTAACATACATTATTCAAATTTATATGCTATACATTATTTTTATTTTTAGTTTTTTTAGAAATTCAAAGTATATATGAACTTTAGTTTAAAAATAAAAATAAATGACTTATCTGAACCTAAACCTAAACCGAAAATGCAAAAATTTGAATTAAACCCGAAAAGATCCAAACAGTACTTAACCGAATCAAATGATACTTGAATGCTATCCCTAATCAATTGTAAAAAGAAAGTTATTGATAACAAAATATGAATTGGTTATAATATTTAAATACAACATTATTAAAAACAAAATTATTCTGCACAGGTTTATCATCTAGTAATTTATTTTTTCATTTGCCTAAAACTATAGTATGAAGGCTACAGAACATGAAATGGACTGTCGGGAAGAGGTAGACGGGGTTTTGTTTCCTCTGTTACTTTTTCTTTATCAAAAATGTTCTAATTTTTATAATATACAAATAGTTCACTAATAAACAAATATAAATAATGTTTAGTTTTTGAATTGTATATGTTGAATTGATTATTAAGTAACTGAAAATTGTTTTTAGCTACATTGAAGTGATAAAATTTTGATTAAGGTTTTTAAAATAATACTTTATTTTCTTTCAATTTAATTTTTGCAACAGAAAGAAGGCAACTATGTTTGAATATGACAGAACCTCTTCAGCATCGAGAACTAAAGCGACAATATGTGCACGCATCAGACTCTTTCTTGACTACATGATACTTAAAGACGCTGGTCCTTTGTCTCGTTCTGTTCTCTCTTGCCAACCATCAGTGTCAAGCTTAACAAACATCCAACATAAACATCAAACGAAGTGAATTAGTGAGGCATGTCCAGCTAATGAGAATCTGTAAACGTACCATATAGACGGTCCTGACCTGAAACTCGAACTGAACTCTCACAGCATCTCTAGTGAGACCAGATTCTGGACCCACCAACACACACTCTTCTTTCAACAATGCATTTAGCAATGTTGATTTCCCAACGTTAGGCCTACCAACAATAGCTAACTGCAACGACAACTTGGACTCGTCTTCTTCACAGAGGTTCTCATCACTTGGAACATCATCTTGAGTACATCTATCTGAATATACGACTATGAGGTTCATCAGTAAAGAGAGAAAAAAAAGAAGCAGCTTCTTCTAGTCAAGTGATTCTTTACACAGTTTTATCACCGTTTAAGGTTTGGACCATGTAATCCTCTAGAGTGATGCAGGTTGGATCTGAGGTTTGCTCATCGGATGTCACGCTTCCTCCTGCCAAAGAAAATCTAAACCAAGAGAGGCTGCTCAAATTCAGTAAACTATCCCGAAGATACTCAAAATTATCTGCAGCAAACAAATATGATATTACTCTGCGTATGGTTTATCAAGACAGTTGGTGATGGTTCTAAAGTTGTGTACCTTTTTTTAGGCCATTCTTCAAGAAACACGTTGTCCTTGTGGTGACCAAACTCATGAATAATTTAGTACACAGACTTTTGATTGTCTCTAGTGTCTACACGAAACAAAGGTAAGCATACATAAGCCATGAAATGGAAAAAAAACAAAAAAAAAAAAGATCTTTCAAATTGAGCTAACATGTTGGAAACATAAGTGGGTGCTGAGTGATCATGTCTGCAGTCAAAGTCAGAGAAAGAATCTGAAAACATCAGCATAGTGTTTGAAACATTAAAAAAAAAATTTATAGTGCATAAGGATGATCTATGTTAACCTTAAGAAATGTATCAAGATAGCCACGGACACGGTCATTTGATAGTCTCTAGTGAACCAAAAAACAAAAGTAAGCATATATAAACAATAGAAGGAGAAAAAAGTTCAGATCTTTCAAAATAAAGCTAACCTGGTGTTGCATAGCCTTAAAGCGCAAGAGCCTCAGAAGCAACTTCAGTAAGAGATTCACCAGTAGACTCCGATTTGTTCATCACTACTATAGGCTTAATTTGTGGTGCATGCTTTCTCAGCCATTTACCAACTTCCAAACCCAACGGATAAGTTGATTGGTTTTCGTAATTTTCTCTGAAAATGTAATTTTCCGTACCAATCAAATAAGTTGATTGGTTTTACCTGAGCTTTTATGTACGGGAAGACATTGCAGAACCTTAAGGTTTCATCTCTGCTCTGTTTACATTCGTTTTTCACATCAGGTGATACCGCAAGGGACATAAATCGGTATGTGTGGCATGTCAGAGTTGCAATCTAAACCACTAAAAAAAGAGGCAGGTTCAGTCAACCACATATACTTAATGAAGCAGAGTACTATACAGAGCCAATGGTCGGAGAGTTTCTTACTTTGGAGATGGTTAAGTATTTCCAGTATATTATAAGTTGATATATGCCCTCCATAGTCAATTACTGAATTTAAACAGCAGTTATTACCTCTGCAAACAAACGACAGCCTCAACCATGTTAGATTTTAGCATCTCAAAGGCTATGGTTGTAACAATTCCAGTCCACTGTGCAACTCAAGGTAGAACGAAAATCACAAAAAAAAAGAAAAAAAGTAATTGAGCTTATTATGAGACATAAAAATGGCCTAAGAATCAGAGTACCTTCAACAGGCTTCAGCTTACGAGCATAGAGCTGCTCTTGATGGACCCCAAAGTATGTATCTTCTAAGGAATCTGGTTTCCTTCCTCTACCAGGAACAACAGGTTCCAAGCTCTGCACAAAAACCTCAATTTTTAATAAAACAAGACCCATCAATTAAAAATGTAACGCATCTTGTCCATCTCAAGGACATTACCTCAATCCTTGACATTCCATCTCCAAGAAAAGCACATGCATCCTTCACATGGGCTATATAGTAGGTGTCACATAGCCTGCATCCTCTGCAGAGCCAATAATTCTGATAAGACCTAGGCAAAAGATAGGGAGTTAAAACAAAATGACAGAACCTGCAATGATCTTTGGCTGGATAAGTGCCTCCTGGTGGTATAGGTTTGGACTTCTCCCTCCAGTTTTCTCGTAGTTTCAGTTTCTTTTTTGGCTCTATATTCACATCTGCAGTAAGAACAAAAAACAATGAACAAAGAAAACTTCATGCAGGTCTCAGAAGAATTTAAACCACAATGGATATAAGAAATTAAGACAATGATCGATGCTTTGCGTGTATCTAAAACCAAAACAGACATAAACGTGCTAATCTAACACAAAATTCTTTCTCCAAACTCAGATGGTATCCGCAATCAAAAACAAAAATTGAAGAATCGACGACATGTGTGAGCAGAGAGCAAAACAGAAAGAGAGAGATTATTGAGGCATCGATGAAACATAAATCAGTATGATCACACAACCCTGTCGTCGAGTAGTTTCAATAAGCGAAAAGGAGTTCATCTTAAAGAAGCTCCAGGCCAATTAAGAAGGCACCTTTCACTGTGTCTCAGACTTGTCCTAAACCAGGAGACTTTTAGAAGACAGCATAAGAAACAAATGGAGCTGAATCAAGGCCCTAGGAAGCATCTAAACTTGTTATGTTTGTTTCTAATGCAATAATAATCAAAGGCACACAAAATAACCCAAAGTCAATTTGTAAAGGTCTAAACTTTCTCAAAGTAAAACTCTTCTTTGTGTGTTTGCTCTATCATACAAAATCCAAGGAGAACACATCGTTATACAAATAACAATTACAAACAGACAAAAATTAAAAGTGAAACAGAGAGTGTACACTTGACATTGTTCAAATTTGCATTCAACTGCAACTGTCCAAAGACCCATCTCGAACCAATTAAAGAGAGAAGTTAAACTACTTGTCTTAATTCAAACAAAAACCAAAACCTTATCCCTAAAGCAGAAATCTGGAAACGAATCAATTACATACAAACTTTTCTGGAAACAGAATAAACCTAAAAAAAATGGATATCGAGCAACCAAATCTGAGAGATGAAGAGTTAGAGATGTCGGAATATACCTGTTCGTCGATGAGGAGCATCTAGTTACCAAGAAGTATCTTTGATTTTGAGTTTCGAGCCTCCCAAAAATGGATAAGACAAAACCTTACCTCGCCTTCGTGTGGGCAAAACTCGACATCTCTGAAGAACACCACTGCATCGGCTTTTGGGGACGTGTCGGAGTGGAGAACCGCCTTACCGTTTCGTTTCTTCGGCATGAGATCAACGGAGACAGCTTCGGTGGAGGAGGCAGAGAGTTTGCCGATAAGTTTGGTCGGTGGAGATTTTCCATCGGATTTCATCGCCATTTCGTTTTCTTGAGAGTGTTGAGAGGACTTTTCTGGATTGTGATTTTGATTGAACCCAAGAACTGATTAAGAGATTTATAAGAAATAGACTGAGAGGGAGTTGAAACGAAAGCCATTGATGAGAGTAAAGTAAAGAGGAGAGGAGGTTCAATTGTGGTAGAGATTGTGCTATCTTGAAACGGAGAAGAAGAGCTGAGGAAAAGAAATCGTCGGCTTTTGGGGGCTGAATCGAAATTAAATTTTCGATCTGTGAAGCAGTGGTGATGTGGAGGTGACGTGGATACTTTCTCTACTCTGATTGGTGGATTAAATTCGCATACGTGGTCAGGCTAATTTGGCTTCATTTGCCCATTTTATTTATAGTAGATATGTCATTGTTCTCAAATATTTGTCTTTCCAAATTAAAAATAATGTAGATTTATAATAATAAAACATTTTTCTTAATTTTTTAAAAAAGATTTTTAAAATAAATACTATTAATAAAAATTTAAAAATAAATGAGTAATAATTTGTTCTATATTTATGTAGTTTGATAGTTAATATACTTACAAATAAATTCAATAACATTTTTTAATATTATAGATACTTGATCCTAATCTTCGAATAGATTTCATTAACTTACAAATAACACAAATTTGTGATCAAATGTTATGTACAAAAATATTTATTTTTATCCAAGTCAAATATTTATTATTATATCAACAAATGGATCAATAAGTCTCACTTGGATATGAAATCCAATGAAAATACTGTACCAAACTGAAATAATAATAATAGACCAGCTCTTAAATATTATAGATATATAATAATAGTTATAAACTCATTTAATATTTGGCTTTAGAGTCAACAAAAAAGTGTCCACGCTTTTTAAACTTTCTTTATACCCGCATAATTGAAACTTGATTTTGATCGTGTAATATTTTATATCATCAAAATAATAGATTTTTTTATCCATTTGTAGATAAAATAACAAAAATATTATCCGCGCTTTTTAAGCGCGTGTCAAAAATATGGTATTTCCTTAAATTACTAAAGCAACAAAGGCTCATCTTAGTTTTAGACTTAAGCCCAATAACTACTATAGATAAGTTCACGTGTTATTTTTAAATGCACGTGACCATCATCGCCAAGCATAATTTTGTCGAATTACACACAACGACGCAACTCCACCAGATTCAGACGAAAGCTAAACATCTGCCATGTGTCTCCTCTACAACTCATGGAGAAAAAAAATAGATGACTACACACTTGACAAAGCATCCGGCGAATGGCGGCTTCGTCCCTCTCGTCTACTCCTCTCTCAAACCCACTTCGTAGATTCACCCTCCTCCTTCACCGTCACCTCTCCAAGAAACCCGTTTCGTCTCTGTTCCTCTGCTCTGCCGCGAAAATAAACAGACATGTATAATGTGTCCCTGGTCTCGACGAAGAAGAGATGGCATCAGTCGCCGGGAAAACGTATCAGAGATACGCATTGCCTTCTTCTTCCCCTTCTGTGGAGAGAAACGGCAAAGGAGTGGCAATTATCTGGTTTAGGAATGATCTTAGAGTGCTTGACACATTGTACAGAGCTTGGTCGTCCTCTTATACCTTTTTGCATGTTTACTGTCTTGATTGATCCTCGTCTCTTTCTCACTACTCATTACTTAGCCTTACCTAAAACAGGAGGTAGTGTTCCAAAACATCGTTTTGTTTTGTCTGATCATCTAGTTTGAATTTACATTGTAATGTTTTAGCATTGAGAGGTGCTTTTCTTATGGAATGTTTGGCTGATTTGAGAAAGAGTCTGATGAAAAGAGAACTTAATCTTCTCATACGGAGTGGTAAACCAGAAGACATTCTTCCTTCCCTTGCCAAAGACTTTGGAGCTCATACAGTTAAGTTTTTTTTTGCTTGTGATGAGACATTCAGACCTCTGTGTGAGGGACATGATGTTCCTTAAAAATGTGAACTTTTTGCCTAATGTTCTTAGGCATTTGCTCATAAAGCAACGTGCAGCGAGGAGCTACATGTTGAAAGAATTGCGAATCAGGCTTTGAAAAGAGTTGGAAATGGCACTAAGCTTGAGCTCATTTGGGGAAGAAATGTACCTAGGGATGTTGTCATGGGCTTCTGTCTAAAGGGTTAGCTCAGTCCATGCAACAATTTATAATCCTAAGCCCATCTATTTTGACTTGGGCTAAGTTAGGGCCGTGTAATTTCAGACTACAGTACCATTAGGGTTATATTTTTTTCTCAGTTTCAAGTTGAAACACCGACAAAAGAGATCAAAGGCGATTCACAGTCACCTTATATAATGCCTATGCGAATGACAACATGCAAAAAGTCCTCACACATCGTCTGTAGAGTGAGAATGGGCTGTTGTGTGATGAAAAAATATAACCATGTAAGGTGTTGCGCTCATATACTGAACTTGATTATAAAAAAAAAAAAGAATTAGGTTCTAGTCTCCTTGTGAATATTTGAGAGGGTGTGAAATTCGTCAAAGCTTCTAATTCGCAGAAAGATTCTTTTGCAGTATGTGTGGAGAGCGCTGGTATAGTAAGCTCCGCTGGTTTATCCTTGGATGCTAACACAAGATAGAATTCCACGTGCGATATGCTGGTGAGGCTCTGAAATTCCGCAACGCTTTTGCTAATCTGCATCTCTATGATAGAAACTACAAGTGTTTGCCTTCTGAAGAAGAGTGGAATCATGGTGAGAAGATAAAAGAGTTCTTGAAGCCTTTTAGTAAAATAACAAAGTGCTTCTTTGGAGTCAAATACCCAACAGCCAGTGTTTATTTCATGCTGGTGTGGAAGATCGAGTTGTTGTTGAGGAAGTACTCAATGATACTGAGATGAGATTAATGGCGATGGAAATGCAAAGTAAGTTTGCCATAGATCCAAAGATTAAGCTTCAGATGCTTAAGGCAACTTATAATAGGCTGGATCCTAGAACTTCTAAGAAGAAGGCTGAAATTGTGAGGAAGAGCTTGGAGTCGCTTTATAAAGAGTATAGCTCCAAGTCTTCAGAATCTTCTTCCAGATTTTCAAGAAGAACTCCACGTGAGCTTCTTACAGAATCGCCTCTTGAAGATGAATGGGAGGATGTAAGTATCTAAAGACTTTGAGCTTGTTTATTTTGACCTCTTAATAATGAGCTAATTGCTTTTTTATCTCTCATTTTGTTTGAATATAGGACCTGCTTGAGCTTGAAAGGTGTATCCAGTTTGGTACAAACAACGAAAGGACAAATCTATATATATATTTGGATAACACTAAAGTTGATATTTCAGTTTTCTCAGATATGGAAGTGTTAGACTATTGGAAAGATAAGGAACATAGATATGGTGACTTAGCTGTGCTTGCCTGGGATATTTTAAGCATTCCCATTACTATTGTGTTGGTGTCAAAATCGGTCACGACGGAATCAATGGCAAAAAGTCTCCGCAAAAATATAAAAGAAATTGTTTTATAAAACTCAAAGAATCGTTTTATAAAACTAGAAGAATCGTTTTATAAAACTCGAGAATCGTTTTATAAAACTCGAAGAATCGTTTTATAAAACTCGAAGAATCGTTCTATAAAACTCGAAGAATCGTTTTATAGAGCTCGAGAATCGTTTTATAAAACTCGAGAATCGTTTTATAAAACTCGAAGAATCGTTTTAGAAGACTCGAGAATCGTTTTATAAAACTCGAAGAATCGTTTTATAAAACTCGAGAATAATTTTATAAAACTCGAAGAATCGTTTTATAAAACTCGAGAATAATTTTATAAAACTCGAAGAATCGTTTTATAAAACTCTAGAATCGTTTTATAAAACTCGAGAATCGTTTTATAAAACTCGAAGAATCGTTTTATAAAACTCGAAGAATCGTTTTATAAAACTCGAGAATCGTTTTATAAAACTCGAAGAATCGTTTTATAAAACTCGGAGAATCGTTTTATATAACTCGAAGAATCGTTTTATAAAACTCTAAGAATCGTTTTATAAATCCAAAAGAGATTTCCGAACAAAGGAAATCCACGGAAAACTTGGAAGATCGTTATCTCGGAAAAACGAAACAAACGTCGATTACACAATCGTCCGAATTAAGCACAAAACCGCGAAAAACCAAAACCGCCGTAAAACGCGAACTAGTCTCATCCTGACTAGTTCGCCGTTGGGCGAACTAGAAGCTCCCCGACTAGTTCGCCATTGGGCGAACTAGAAGTTTCCCAAGAGGCACTGACTTTGCCCCAAGGGTTCTTATCGCCTAGCTCGCCAAGCTGAATTCACTCGCCGTATGTCGAGCCGACCATCCCGAGCCTCGATCTCTCACATCATTTATTCAAGGCATACGTCCTTCGACACGATTGTATTCCGAATCACGGTCGAAATGTCTCCCGTTTCGTGTCCTATTGTTCGAGTTTTACGATAAAAACCATAAAACTAGGTTTTCTCGAAAAGAACTCGAGGAAATCGTATAAAACGGCAACGGTTAAACGAAACACTAAATATTGCCTAAACTATACGATTTATTCGAGATTTTTTG